TGTCATTAAAATTTTCAAACAATTTCCAAATAAATAACTATAATTTTAATGGTGAAAAAAAATATGGCAATACATAATTTAAAATTCTTCCTGAGATATAAAAATCAATAACTAATAACATTGCAATTCTTGTCAATTATTTTATAAAAATATTAAATATATACAGAAACATGATAAACCATCAATATAGACTATCTTATGCTTTTACAAGTATTTTTTTATAAATTTTTTTACCATTTTAAAAAAAAAAAATTTATAATTCAATAAAAAATTTTTTACATTTTTCTTTTTTTTAAAATATTTTAAAAAATAATGTTTCAAAAATAATTAAAAAGATTAAAATCATAATCCTATTTTTTATTTTTATAAATTTTTTTTTATTTAAATATATATTTTATATATTTTTTATATTTATGTTCATTTTTCCTAATGATTAAAAAAAAATATGAATTTTTCAAAATATTTTTGAGTTTAATTTTTTTTCTTCTTTCAAAAATTTATATTATAATTATATTTAATATATATATAAAAATGTTGTTTATTTAAAAAAATGCCATGAGAATATGGGAAAATTAAATAAATGGTAAAGAATTCAAATTTCCATTAAATATTTTTTATTAGAAATCTTGTTTTAAAAATTTCTTTAATAATATAAAAATTTTTTTTCAAGTTCTTTTTGAAAAATCCTAAATTTTTAATTAGGAAAAGGCATGAATTCAAATCCATTTTTCTGTTATATTGTGTAAAAATAAAAAAAAAGAAAAACAAAACACTTTTATCCAATCCTAATGAATTCATCCTTTGTGCATTAAAGTGAAAATAGAAACCAGAGGCAAATTGTATTTTTGAAATGTTCAAAATTTTTTTTTTAATTGTATATATATATAATAAAAAAAAAAAATATATCCAAATATGACTTCAAAATATTAAAAATATCAAATTTAATAAAATTGAGAGATAAAAAAAATCAAAATTTTTTTTAAAAATATACAAAATTATAATGCTTTAAAATTTTTAAATTTTTTTTTTGATTTCTTTAACCAAATTGTAATGCATAAAATCCTTTTTTTGAAATAAAACAATCAAAAACTTAAAAAGTTGAAAATTAATAAATGATTTTATAAGGTAAATATTCTAGTGGTCTTGGTGTCAAAAGTTATTTTTAAACAAAAAAAGGCTTATAATAATAAATTTTATTTTTCCTTAAAAAATTACACAATTAAAAAATCATTTAAAATTTAGTTTTGAAACAAGATGTTTTTTTCAAATAGGACTGGTAAATAAAAGTCATGCCCAACTGATAAAAATGAAGACCAAAAATTAAAAGAAAGTGATATTTAAAAATATCTCATTGTCCAAACTTTTTTGAAATTAATCACCTTCATGTAAAATTAGTAAAATAGGAATCTGGTATTTGTGTGAAAGGAAGTATTTTCATTATGAATGTTTTTTTATTTCATTTTTTTTTTTTTTTTTTAAAAATATATATATATATAAAATATTTATGAAGTTATAACAATAAATTATTTTAGATCTTTGATAAAAATGATTCATGATTGTTATATTTTATAAAATTTATATTTATATTTTTCATTTTGTAATGAACCTATATATCATATTCAAACATATATATATTATATATATATATAAATATAATATATATCAGGTCATCCCATAAGTTCTGTCCGAATTTTAACTTTTTGTTAAAATGAACGAAATTTAAAGAGTATTTTATAATGTCTAATGGAGCTGAACATTATTTTTTTTTTGTTTAGATGCATTTAAACTGATCAAATTTTATTTCAGAGAACAATAAAATTAAATTTTGTTTGATTAAAACCCTGCTAACATGGAAGTACCCAAGAATCATTTGAGGCACATAATGCTTTATGAGTTCAAGAAAGGAAACTCAGCAGCCAAGCGGCTAGAAACATTCACTCAGTTTATGGAGAGGAATGTGTGAATGAATGAAAGAACTTGCAGAAGATGGTTTGCAAAATTCAGAGGTGGAGATTTCACCCTTGAAGATGAAGATCGAACCGGACGTCCAGTTGAGTTTGATGAAAAGCTTCTTGAAGCAGCCCTTGAAGAAAATCCTGCTTTATCAGTTGAGGAATTGGCAGTGGTTCTCAGTTCAAACCATACAACTGTTCATCGTCATCTTCAACAACTTGGAAAAGTTCCTAAACTTGGAAAATGGGTGCCTCATGAATTGTCTGAAAACAACCTCAAATCCTGAGTTGACATCTGCTCTTCTCTCCATTCTCGCCAACTTGTTTCACCTTTTTTGGATAGACTTGTGACTGGCGACGAAAAATGGATCTTTTATCGAAATGTTAAGCGTCGTAGACAGTGGCTTGGTAAAGGGAAGGACCCCAGCCACAGCCGAGAAGGGAACTTCATGGGCAAAAGGTTCTTCTTTCAATCTGGTGGGATCGCCAAGGAATAATCCACTTTGAATTCTTACCACCTAATGCAACAATTAATGCTCAAATATACTGTCAGCAATTAGAGCGTTTGAACCAAGCTTTGAGGAAAAAAAGACCTGCTCTAGTGAATCGAAAAGGGGTGATGTTTCATCAGGACAATGCGCGACCCCACACAGCAAGAATCACGTCACAAAAGATCGAAGAACTTGGTTGGGAGAAAATTCCTCATCCACCTTATTCTCCCGATCTTGCTCCTTCAGACTACCATTTGTTTCGTAGCTTACAGAATCATTTGGAAGAAACAGCTTTTGTAACACAGGAAGAGGTTAAAACTGACATTTGTGAGTTCTTCGAATCAAAGCCAAAAGAATTTTACAGTAATGGAATTAGTAAGCTTGTTAATAGATGGAAGGAAGTCATAGATAATCAGGGAAAATACATTGTTGATTGAATCTGTAATTAAATGTAACATTTGGTCACTTGTTTTCTTTATTCGATGCTACTCTCTCTACTCTATTCACTATACTATTTCGCTATTCAGATCACTATATGGGTTACTATTTGAGCGAGTATTATTGAGCAAGTACTATTAGTGTGCGTGATATTCAAAGGCATCTGACACTAGTGTTGTCAAATGACATACTATAGTGGTATCTGCAATTATAAAGTCTCTACTACAATGAGCAGTGACAAAGAGTATTCGTTGGCATTACAAAAATGGCAATGGGTGTTCATTTGAGTCACAAAAATGATAAACAGGATTGTCGATTCATTTGTTGTTTTTCATGGCTTATCAACCCTTTGTTGGTTTTTTAAAGCTGAAACATATTTTGGATTGTAAGAATTCTATTTTTTTGTGAGTGAGTATTGCATTAACAATTATTTTTTTTTTTTGTGAATAACAATGATTTTTTTCAGATACAAATTCAATGGGAAATGTACAAATCCATCACTTCACCACCTCCATTCCAGCTATAGGTTAAATAGCAGTGTAAACTGGGCTCTTTAGCCATAGTTGGCAATCAGTCTTGGAGAAAGACAATTCTGAATTCAAAACTCAGCCACCTGAAGCTGTACAAATATGGTTACATATGGGAGGTAGATACTATGTCATCTGTAAAACAAAAAGCACATTTTCAACAGCTATGGATAATCCCACAATCCTTGAATGTTGTTGAGATTAACAGACAGTATAGACAAGTGTTCATTATTGTATGTGATGTTTTTCGTAGGAGTTTAGTGTAGGAATCATCAATTTTTTAATTACAAGTGGCCTTTTGCTTGATTAACTCATTGAATTAATAATATGGATCAATTTGTATTTATTTGATCCTTCATTATTTTGAATTTTTCTTCTATGTACTACATCCCTTCAAGACATAGGCGATCATGGCTCTCCACAACTTCCTATTCCTTGTGGCTCTTAGCAGTTTTCTCCCTCCTTCGGTTTCACTATCCATTCACACAAGCTCATCAGGTAAGTAGCTTGCTGCTTTCCCCTTTCAATCTTGCCCTCAGTATATCATGTGAGTGTTAAGTTTTCAAAACCCTCCTTCCTCATTATGTGTCTAGGGAATTTCAGCTGTCTTTTCCTGATTCTGAGTATAAGTATTCTTTCTTTACCATTTTCTTTGTTGCTTACTCATTCCATCCATGGAATTTTCAGTATTTTTCTTTAGAACCATATTTCTGTTGTTCCTAGTTTTCTCGTTCTGAAGATTGTGGAGGTGATTGTCCAAGATTCACAGTCATATAAGAGGATGGATAAGGCACAGCAATCCAGCACTCTTTTCTTTGTTTCTAGTGAAGTCAAAATAACAGAGATTCAAATAAAGTTTGATCACCAACTCTTTCCCAAACACCACCATTTATCTTTAGTTCAGAGTATGTTCTAAGATAAGTTAAGCTAAAAACACTGATAAGAGGTGATCCCATTTCTGCTCATAAAAATCATTGTTGAAAGTAAAATAACATTGGTTTTTGGTGAGTTGGCAATTTTTTATATTTTTATCTATTTGTAGGGAGAAGATAATTTTTGATTTTACGAGATTTTAAAAAAAAAATGATTCCAGCATGTTTTGATAGGAACATCACTACTAAGTGACTTGGTATCTAAACTAGCCACGAGTTTATCTGGTATATGAATCTTCTTTATTACTCCATGATACTAATGTAAAAATACCGATGAACATAAAATAATTTCTGTAACACAAAAATTTAATAAAGCCATTAGAAATTAAGTTAATAATGAAGACAGGTTATCACCAAAATTAATCAGAGTGCATTCTAAGTGGATATGTGGGTAACAATAGTTATTGGATTGATTGATTGCTTTTTTATGGCTTATCAACCTTTTGCCAGAAAATATTTTTAGATTGTAAGAATTTTTTCTTTAGACATACCATAGCTAGGGGTGGGGGAGAAGAGGTGGGTTCATACCTTTCCCAAGAGTTTCTGTGATAAAAACTGCTAAGGGCCCCAAGGAATATAACAACCCCAACTGGTATTTGAACTCAGCTCTCTGAATAACAATTCTGAGCCATTATCCATTACACCACCTGCACATCTAAGCTTACAGCACCTGGTATTCCTAAGCTGTCACCCATCTAGGTACTGACCAGGCTCAACATGCTTAACTTTGATGATCATATGGGAACTAAAGTTTTAATGTGATATGGCTGTAAACCCAACAGTTATTGGAGTGGCAAGTAGAATCAGTTTGCAAAATTCAAATAATGACTTTGTTTTGTTTGCATTATAACCCCTAGAAAGGGCAAGAATACATCTTGTAGCTCTAGGTTAAATAGCAGGGTATACTAGGCTCTCTTGCCATGGTAAGACAACTAAGAGAAGGAAAACCAGCATGATGAAGGATAAGCCCCATAAGATTTAAAAAAAATATTTTTGAGATTTCCAACCAAAAGATCTTTTGTCGATTCAGGGCATGAAAGTAACACTGTCTACTTTGCCACCCTCTCCTTTTATGCACTGAAATTACCTGACTTTGGAGTGAATACCCGCCAAGTTAAGAATGACTATACAATATCTTAAAATTAATGGTAAATTGTTACTGTTAAATCTCTGTGTAGATATGATTTCACTAAATGGTAGAATTTTTGTTGTTTAAAGAATAGACCCTGTAAAGGATGGCTATAGGAGTAACAGCTTTTAACTACTACTGCTTGTTTTGTAGTTATGGGAGAGTGGTTTGTACAGTTGCTACTTCATACTCTTTTCTTAGTTAACCACTATGCAACACTTACAATGTGATATTCTATTAAGATACCTAGAATAGACCCTGTCATGGTTGGCAATAGGAGTAACAGCTTTTAGTTACTACTGTTTAAGCATGTTTTGTACTTATGGGAGAGTGTTTTTTACTTAAGGTAGAGGCTTAATGAAGGCAGTTGTTGTGAGAGCAGTAAAGGATGCAGTTTATGAGAATATTTGGAAAAGATAACAGTTAACTCTAGACTTGAAGAGGTTAAGATTGTAGTGGTTAGGGAAGTATCTTCTTGGGATTCTGTTCCACAAAACAGCAATTCTTGGGGAGAAGCTATCCGAGTAGAACTTACTCCTTTTTCTAAAGGAAATGCAAAGGAATGAGGATGGTTTATCTCAATGTAGGTGGAATGGTGGGTCTTAGCTGGGAGGATTAAAGTTGGAGGAATTAAGGAATATTGCTCATTTGAACATTTTTCTATAGAAATAATGATAGAGTAGTGAGAGGCTCATTAATGTTTCATTTGTGGGAAAGTGGTTGTATGGTAGAAAACAATTCATCACCCACAAGGACGGAGAGACATTTTTGGACTCTATCAAGACAGGAAAGTGAAGACTGGGCAGCTCCTTCCCATATATGGCAGTAGTACTCTATTTTCATTCTAATCCAACTCTTGTAAAGGCAGAACACAGCAGGTGGAGTCTGATAATTACCAGAGTGATACAGGAGGCCAACCATTTTTTCATAATTGTACACATGAGTTCTACTTCAGGTCTGGTTTGGTTTGGTTTATTTTGTTTTATGCTATATCAACCTCAATGGGTTATTTAATGCTGACAAGATTTTTAGGATAGCTTCATATGAATAGGATATATATTCTTTGTAAGAAATCAGTTTGTAGATCAGGTTTCATTGACATATTTTTGTTAAGAGGATTTTTGTCAAGAGTCAGATGTATTGCTGGTAATATTATTTTTTTTAAATGTATTGCTGGTAATATTTTTTCTTTTTTAAATGTATTGCTGGCAATCTTTAAAAAAAATGTATTGCTTGTATTTTTACTATAAAAATGTATTTATATACTTTTATAATGTTTGAGGTCTGGGTTGAGCTTAAATCTGTATAGGTGTTCAATGCAAGGGATCTCATTTAGAGAACACCTGTTCATTGTGATACACTAAAAATTCAGAGGTGATGATGGAATATTGTAAGTTTGATTTTTGAGGTATTGAAAGTGACCAGCCAGTTTTTCTCCTCATTGAGTTGCTAATCCGAGGTCAGAGGGGAGATCAGCTGCCAGCCTCTGGTAATCTATATTTTTGGAGGTGCACTTATATACTTTTGTGTCATCTGCATAGATATACTGTATGCTTTTAATTTCCTATTGGTCAAATAAAAATTCAAATTATAGCAAAATTAATAAAATGTTCATTATCATTTTCATATATGTATTAAATGTGCTGATGGCAATAAAATTTAAGTAATATTTTAATTGCATCAGTTATATTTTCTGTATCAATAACCTAAGGTAATATCTTTTTTAGAGTGAGTAGCTTGGTCTTATCAGTTTACTGCTGAAATTACTAAATGTAACTGTAATTATATAAATTCTAATAGTTTTTTTCTTTTGCACTTCTCGCGTGTGGAAATCTCTTACAGTTTCTCGTTTTCCTGTCAACTATGATCTTCAAAATTCTAAGTGTAACAGCAATTGTAATATTCTGTCTTCTTGAATCCTGTTCTTTTATTGTCCTCACCCAGTTTCTTTCACTCTCTCTTAGTTACCTCTTGCATCTTAGTGGCTTTATTACCTTGCTAGGAGTGAAAAATTTAAATAAAAAGAAAATAACAACATCAAAAGAGTGGGAAATGAAAAAGATGGCTAATTGCTGCCAAAAATCATTATATTCAAGAATGGATGCATTCATTTAACACACACATACATAAAAAAAAATTAAGGGGGATTTGAATAATCATAATTAATTTATCAAGTCAAGAAGAATCCTCAATATAATGCAGAAAGCACTGGACAGCCATTTGTCCTATTTTGGGGACTCATGCGCATCCACTACTGAGAATTGAAACCTGGACAGTTACAATATGATGCAAATGTCATACCCACTGAACCAACATGTCTTGGAAAGGTAACAAACCAGATTCAATATAGTGCCAGATAAAATTGATGAATTAATTATGATTATTCAAATCCCTCTTAAATTTTATATATATATATTTCACTGCTTGAAATGGCTTCTAATGCTCCAGATGGAGCGGCTTTGGAATAGAATATGTAACACATGGAGGCACAGTCTGTTATAAGTAGATTCAGATGAGTCACACGATGGACTTTGTGAAGGGTTGGCGCTATATTGAGTCTGGTTTGCTACCTCTCCATCACCAAGACAGGTTGGTTCAGTGGGTATGACACTTCCATCATATCATAACGGTCCAGGTTTGATTCTTGGTAGTGGATGTGCACTACTGATGAGTCCCCAAAATAGGACGAAACATTATATATATATGTGTGTGTGTGTGTATGCTTAGATGTGGCACAAGGCTTAAAATATGGGGCATGGAGTGATGATCGAATGCACTACTCAGTTTTAATTGATCTAGTGAGACAAGCTTGTTAACCATTACACCATGTCGAAGTGTTTGACATATAATGATTAGCATGCTTGTCTCACAAGATCAATTATGACTGAGTAGTGAGTCCAATCCACATTCTGTACCCCATATTTTCAGCCTTGTGCCACATCTAAGCTATGCTTAGAAAACCTTTTGTTCTTTGGGATTATATATATATATATCATTCACAGTAATTCATCGAGTGTAGAAGAATCCGCAACAGAATGCAGAAAGCAGTGGACGGCCATTTCATCCTCTTTGGGACTGCTCAGCAGTGCGCATCCAGATACATGATTACCTAAGCATGTATCACGCATGGCACATAACTGACTGACTATTCCTACCATTATTATTTCTAGTACAGATGTTGTCAGGTGCATTTCTGTTTTCATAAGTGATGTAAAGAGCATGATTTTTGAACTTGCGTACAGTAACTATCATAAAGTTGCATATTACTGCTACTTTTAAAAAGGGGTCATTGAATATCTCCCCCTCTCTCTCATATATATATATTTAAAAATCTGTATAGAGCTAGATTAAAAATTACATGAAACTCAGAGTATAGATTGAAATAAAGTAAACTATTCTAAATATATATATATATATATATATATTAATAAATATACATTTTTACCTTATTAATATCACAACTCATGCACAATGCAATCTTCAGGTGGTGTGTAGAAACTGACTGTTACATAATTTAAATTTTAAACTATTTTAACACATGCACTCAATATGCGATATCATATATATAAATACATACAGTGTGCGACGGATAAATTGTCTAAATTATGCAAAAATGAACACTGACATCTCATTTTAACAGATATATTTTCCAAAATTATACAGAAATATCTTGAAATACTAAAGAATAAATTTATTCAATAAAATTGCTATTGGCTTCAACCACAGCCTCCAGACAAC